TCCTTTTAACCTTTTATTAAAGATGCAGAAAAGAAGGAAATACAGTTAAAACATTTGAAATGTAAAGTATTAAATAAGGCTTTCATGTTAATAACAGCCCTCGTTCCCTTTCCCTTTAGCTGGAGAGAGTTTTTTAGAAAAAAAAATTCCCTTCTCTGATGGTGTGTTAGAGAATATCAAAGGTGGTAATAACGGTCCTTTTGGGGAAATGGGAAGAAGATAGTTGAGATGGATTGTTGCTGTTAAAGTCCAGTCCTGTTTCATCCCAGGTGGTGTTTGTGATGCAGCTGGGGCTGATAGAAGTGGTGATATTTTAAAGAAGCCTTATTGAGGACAGGAACAAACCATCCTGATGTGCAGAAAAAACAGCAAATATGGGTTACCTAGGGAGGTGGTGGAATCTCCATCCTTAAAGGTTTTTAAGGCCTGGTTTGACAAAGCCCTGGCTGGGATGATTTAGTTGGGGTTGGTCCTGCTTTGAGCAGGGGGGGTTGGACTAGATGACCTCCTGAGGTCTCTTCCAACCTTAATCTTCTATGATTCTATGTCATCTGGGTCCCTCTTTCTAGCCCGGGCTGATTGGGACATCTCTCAGGATTAGGACCAAGAAGGTCCAGGAGACAGTGGGGGTGACAGCCATGATAGTGAAGCTTGCTCTACTAGTCAATTTTTGTTCCCCAACATCTTTTTCTTTCAGGAGTGATGGGTAGAATAACCCAGTGATGAGCTGCCAAAATTTTAACAACCGGTTCCCTATAAAAAGTTCTGATTTAAGGGATGTGCCTCTGTCCTGCCCCTCCCATGCCCCCCCCAGGCTCCATCTGCCCTCCAGGCTCTGTCCTGCCCCCCCATACCCCCAGGCTCTGTCCTACCCCCTCCCGCCCTCACCCCAGGCTCCGTCCTGCCCCCCCTGCCCTCCCCAGGCCCGTTCTCCATCCCAGGTGCCTGTTGGTGGTGCAGGAGTCTTGCAGCCCTTGCATCAGTGGGGTCGCTCCTGGTATGTGGGGCAGCGGCTCCCTGAAGGCAAAGGCTGCCATCTGCCCGATTCCCCACCGCAGGATGTGAGTGCCCCCGAGCAGCGGAGGCCGGACAGCCCCACAGCACAGGAGCGGGTGAGATGGGGGGGGGACGACTCACCCCAGCATGCCCAAGGCAGCCCCCAGCCATGGCACCAGCTGGCCCTGCCCTGCTCCTGGGGCAGAGGAGGCTGCACCCAGTCACATGGTGCCTGATCTCCCTGCCCAGCGCAGCTGGTCACACTTCCTGGGCTGGGCAGGAAGCAGCATGGAGCTCGGCCACGGCTGCTGAGTGAGGCAGCATCAGATTGGCCTCTGTGTTGCTTCCCCTGGGCCAAAATACTCCAAAGGGGACAGAGAGAAAGCAGGTGCATAGCCCGTTCCCCAGGCACTGGCCAGCAAAGCTTTCTGGGTGCATGGAGATGGAAGAAGAAGGGGAACATAGTGCATTGAGAGGTAGACCCCTCACAGAGCCCTACACCATGCACCCTCCCTAGCGCTGAGTCGGGGGCCCCCTTGGCCTGGGGGGCTGCCCCAGCCAAGGCCCCGCCTGGCTGGGACTTTCTGGGGTGGCGACTGTCTACCCAATCCCCCGTTCCCTGTGACCTGACCGCCCCCTAGAACCTCCGCCCCCCTCCAACCGCTCCCTGCCCCTTATCCGACCCTTCCTCCCAGCCCTGGCCCCGCCCTGGCCCCGCCCCCTTACCATGCTGCTCAAAGTGGCAGGAGCTGCAGAGCTTCCCAGGAGCGGTCCAGAGCCCTGGAGCCAGCGGCGCGGCACGCTGAGGCTCTGCGAGAGGAGGAAAGGCGGGGGAGGGGCCGGGGGAGCCTCCCCGGCCGGAAGCTCAGGGAGCCCTAACAACCGGTTCTAAAGCTGCTTCTAAATTTAACAACCGGTTTGCATGAACTGGTGCGAACCAGCTCACCACTGGAATAGCCCATCCCCTCATTATATTGTCCTGCAATCAGGCCGAATATCTAACAGATCAATTTAGATTCACTGATTTCCTGTTCCACACTTTTCCTGTTTACCAAGCATGATCTTAACACAGTCCTTGAGTAATATCAGGAGGGCTGAATTTGTCCAAATGAAAAGTCTGTCTTTTCTTTCATATCTTTTCCCATCAACATTTGTTATGGTAGGTTATGGTGACAGTTTATGAATGTACACTCACTTTTCACAGTTGAGCTTAAAGTTAGAGTAAATGTGTAGGCCCAATTATCACAACAGGGCTGTTGCTATTGAGAGACCAGGCAAAGCTAGGAGGGGAGGAAAGCTAGTCAGATCCTCCCTGCTTCAGACCAGTGGCCTGAGCTGCCAGGCCTCAGCTTTGCAAAGGGAAGGGAAAGGGGAAGATTAAAACACAGCCATTATTGCTCTCTCTGAACAGAAAGGGAGTGAAGATACTGACAGCATTGTAGTGCCCCTCTGGTCCCATGCTGAAGGGAGGATGGAAGATTTCCCCAGTGACGATAGCCTATTTCCCCTTCTTACAAGAATCTTACAGTATGTCTACACTATGAAAATTAAGTCGAATTTATAGAATTCGGTTTTGTAGAAAGCGTTTTTATACAGTGGATTGTGTGTGTCCCCACACAAATGCTCTAAGTGCATGTAGTCGGCGGAGTGTGTCCACAGTACCGAGACAACCGTCAACTTCTGGAGCGTTGCACTGTGGGTGGCTATCCCACAGTTCCCGCAGTCTCTGCCGCCTATTTGAATTCTGGGTAGAAATCCCAGTGCCTGATGGGGCTAAAACATTATTGCAGATGGTTCTGGGTACATATCGTCAGGCCCCCGTTCCCTCCTTCCCTCCCTCCGTGAAAGCAAGGGCAGACAATCGTTTTGCGCCTTTTTTCTTGAGTTACCTGTGCAGACGCCATACCACGGCAAGCAGGGAGCCTGCTCAGCTAATCATCACCGTATGTCTCCTGGGTGCTGGCAGACATGGTACTGCATTGCTACACAGCAGCAGTTTATTGACTTTTGGCAGCAGACAGTGCAGTATGACTGGTAGCCGCCGTCGACATAGTCCTGGGTTCTCTTTTAACCGGGCGCTGGGGCAAACATGGGAGTGACTCAGCCAGGTCATTTCCCTTGTTTCGTCTCATGGCGATTCAGTCCTACCGGCAGTGCACTGTCTTTTAATCTGCAGCTAGCAGAAGATGATGGCCAGTAGTCATACTGCACTATCTTATGCCAAGCACCCAGGAGATGATGATGGCTAGCAGGCGTACTGCACAGTCTGCTACCAGCAAGATGTATAAAGATAGATGAAGTGGCTCAAAACAAGAAATAGACCAGATTTGTTTTATATTCATTTTCTCCTCCCTCCCTCCCTCTGTGAAATCAATGGCCTGCTAAACCCAGTTTTGAGTTCTATCCTTCAGGGGGCCATTCAGTTTCTCGCAAAGCCACCCCATTTGTTGATTTTAATTCCCTGTAAGCCAACCCTGTAAACCATGTCGTCAGTCGCCCCTCCCTCCGTCAGGGCAACGGCAGACAATCGTTCCGCACCTTTTTTCTGTGCAGATGCCAGACCACGGCAAGCATGGAGCCCGCTCAGGTCACTTTGGCAATTAGGAGCACACTAAACACCACACGCATTATCCAGCAGTATATGCAGCACCAGAACCTGGCAAAGCGATACTGGGGGAGTAGGCGACATCAGCACGGTGACGTGAGTGATGAGGACATGGACACAGACTTCTCTCAAAGCACGGGCCCTGGCAATGTGGGCATCATGGTGCTAGTGGGGCGGGTTCATGCGGTGGAATGCTGATTCTGGGCTCGGGAAACAAGCACAGACTGATGGGACCGCATAGTGTTGCGGGTCTGGGACGATTCCCAGTGGCTGCGAAACTTTCGCATGTGTAAGGGCACTTTCATGGAACTTTGTGACTTGCTTTCCCTTGCCCTGAAGCGCAAGAATACCAAGATGAGAGCTGCCCTCACAGCTGAGAAGCGAGTGGCAATAGCCCTGTGGAAGCTTGCAATGCCAGACAGCTACTGGTCAGTCGGGAATCAATTTGGAGTGGGCAAATCTACTGTGGGGGTTGCTGTGATGCAAGTAGCCCACGCAATCAAAGATCTGCTGATATCAAGGGTAGTGACCCTGGGAAATGTGCAGGTCATAGTGGATGGCTTTGCTGCAATGGGATTCCCTAACTGTGGTGGGGGCCATAGATAGAACCCATATCCCTATCTTGGCACCAGAGCACCAAGCCAGTGAGTACATAAACTGCAAGGGGTACTTTTCAATAGTGCTGCAAGCACTGGTGGATCACAAGGGACGTTTCACCAACATCAATGTGGGATGGCCGGGAAAGGTACATGACGCTCGCATCTTCAGGAACTCTGGTCTGCTTCAAAAGCTGCAGGAAGGGACTTTATTCTCAGACCAGAAAATAACCGTTGGGGATGTTGAAATGCCTATAGTTATCCTTGGGGACCCAGCCTACCCCTTAATGCCATGGCTCATGAAGCCATACACAGGCAGCCTGAACAGTAGTCAGGAGCTGTTCAACTACAGGCTGAGCAAGTGCAGAATGGTGGTAGAATGTGCATTTGGATGTTTAAAAGCACGCTGGCGCAGTTTACTGACTCAGTTAGACCTCAGCGAAACTAATATTCCCACTGTTATTTCTGCTTGCTGTGCACTCCACAATATCTGTGAGAGTAAGGGGGAGACGTTTATGGCGGGGTGGGAGGTTCAGGCAAATCGCCCGGCTGCTGGTTACACACAGCCAGACATCAGGGCGGTTAGAAGAGCACAGGAGGGCGCAGTGCACATCAGAGAAGCTTTGAAAACCAGTTTCATGACTGGCCAGGCTACAGTGTAAAAGTTCTGTTTGTTTTGTCTTGATGAAACCCCCCGCCCCTTGGTTCAGTCTACTTCCCTGTAAGCTAACTACCCTCCCCTCCTCCCTTCGATCACCACTTGCAGAGGCAATAAAGACACTGTTGCTTCATATTCATGCATTCTTTATTAATTCATCACACAAATAGGGGGATAACTACCAAGGTAGCCCAGGAGGGGAGGTGGAGGAGAGAGGCACTAGGAGGGGTGGTGGAGGAGGGAAGGACAAGGCCACACAGCACTTTAAAAGTTTAAAACTTTAAAACTTATTGAATGCCAACCTTCTGTTGCTTGGGCAATCCTCAGGGGTGGAGTGGCTGGGTGGCCGGAGGCCCCCACACCACATTCTTGGGTGTCTGGGTGAGGAGGCTATGGAACTTGGGGAGGAGGGCGGTTGGTTACACAGGGACTGTAGTGGTAGTCTGTGCTCCTGCTGCCTTTTCTGCAGCTCAGCCATATGCTGGAGCATATGAGTTTGATCCTCCAGCAGCCTCAGCATTGAATCCTACCTCCTCTCATTACGCTGCCGCCACCTTTCAGCTTCAGCTCTCTCTTCAGCCCGCCACTTACTCTCTTCAGCCTGCCACCTCCCCTTCCTGTCATTTTGGGCTTTCCTGCCCTCTGACATTGTCTGCCTCCACGCATTCGTCTGTGCTCTGTCAGTGTGGGAGGACAGCATGAGCTCAGAGAACATTTCATCGCGAGTGCGTTTTTTTCGCCTTCTAATCTTCGCTAGCCTCTGGGAAGGAGAAGATCCTGTGATCCTTGAAACACATGCAGCTGGTGGAGAAAAAAAAAGGGACAGTGGTATTTAAAAAGACACATTTTATAGAACAATGGGTACACTCTTTCATGGTAAACCTTGCTGTTAACATTACATACATAGTACATGTGCTTTCGTTACAAGGTCGCATTTTGCCTCCCCCCAGCGTGTGGCTAGTCCCTCCACCCTCCCCGTGGCTAACAGCGGGGAACATTTCTGTTCAGCTACAGGCAAACAGCCCAGCAGGAACGGGCACCTCTGAATGTCCCCTTAAGAAAAGCACCCTATTTCAACCAGATGACTGTGAATGATATAACTCTCCTGAGGATAACACAGAGAGATGAAGAATGGATGTTGTTTGAACGCCAGCAAACATACACTGCAATGCTTTGTTCTTCAGTGATTCCCGAGTATGTGCTACTGGCCTGGAGTGGTAAAGTGTCCTACCATGGTGGATGGAATAAGGCTGCCCTCCCCAGAAACCTTTTGCAAAGGCTTTGGGAGTATATCCAGGAGAGCCACGAATGCCAGGGCAAATTAATCATTAACATACTTGCTTTTAAACCATGTATAGTATTTTAAAAGGTACACTCACCAGAGGTCCCTTCTCCACCTGGCGGGTCCGGGAGGCAGCCTTGGGTGGGTTCGGGGGGTACTGGCTCCAGGTCCAGGGTGAGAAACAGTTCCTGGCTGTCGGGAAAACCGGTTTCTCTGCTTGCTTGCTGTGAGCTATCTACAACTTCATCAACATCATCTTCCTCATCCCCAAAACCTGCTTTGGTGTTGCCTCCATCTCCATTGAAGGAGTCAAACAACACGACTGAGGTAGTGGTGGCTGAACCCCCTAAAATGGCATGCAGCTCATCATAGAAGCGGCGTGTTTGGGGCTCTGACCCGGAGCGGCTGTTCGCCTCTCTGGTTTTCTGGGAGGCTTGCCTCAGCTCCTTAAGTTTCACGTGGCACTGCTTTGGGTCCCTGTTATTGCCTCTGTCCTTCATGCCCTGGGAGATTTTGACAAGGGTTTTGGCATTTCGAAAACTGGAACGGAGTTCTGATAGCACGGATTCCTCTCCCCATACAGCGATCAGATCCCGTACCTTCCATTCGGTCCATGCTGGAGCTCTTTTGCAATTCTGGGACTCCATCATGGTCACCTCTGCTGATGAGCTCTGCATGGTCACCTGCAGCTTGCCACGCTGGCCAAACAGGAAATTGAAATTCAAAAGTTCGCGGGCCTTTTCCTGTCTACCTGGCCAGTGCGTCTGAGATGAGAGTGCTGTCCAGAGCGGGCACAATGGAGCACTCTGGGATAGCTCCCGGAGGCCAATACTGTATAATTGCATCCAAATTTGACCCAGCAAGGCTGATTTCCGTGCTAATACCCTTGTCGAGGGTGGAGTAAGGAAATTGATTTTAAGAGCCCTTTAAGTTGAAAAAAAGGGCTTCGTCGTGTGGACGGGTGCAGGGTTAAATCGATTTAATGCTGCTAAATTCAACCTCAGCTCCTAGTGTAGACCAGGGCTTACTCTACAGTGGTAGTCCTAGGCTTCCCACAATCACATGGTGTTTAATAAGAAGGCAGGGCAGACTGGTCACCAGTTTATGGACTCCCTTTTTATGGGGTGCGTGGTTCACTCTCCCCTTCCTCCTGGGCTATTCAGTGGAGTGGAAGAGATCTGGGTCTTATTTAGTCTTTACCCAGTCCTGTTGATAAGAGCCTCCTTCAGCTGGTATTCCTATGCTGGGTCCTTCTGCTTGTTTCTTTTATCATATCCATCCTTTGTACTGTGCTGTGCAGCTTTAAGAGCTTCAGTCTCCAGCTGTTAGAGAACTATCTATGCCTGCATCCCCACTTCTGTTTCTTTTATTTCGCTGATCCAAATCTCCCTTGACAGCCGGGGAAGGTCCTATGAGAGAAGAAGGAGAATCCTTGATCTCTGAAAGGATTTCTTGATGCAAGGGATTAACTCTCCTAGAAATTTAACAGTGATTTTTCACAAATTCTGCACAGTGCTAATTACTTTGGAGCATTGTAACTTAAACCAGCTGGAATATAATTGCATGGCTTTCGATGTTTTCTGTACTGCCCACCCACCTACTATGTGCAGCAGATCTGTCTCACACTTCTTTAATGTAGCCTTGTCCAGTTGTGCATCGTTGTTAAATACATTTATTAGTGTTTCCCCTGTTGTACTGAAACATTTTGGTGTTTATATTTGATTGATAGTATAGAAAATGGAGAGGAGATAACCATACCTCTGGGGTGAAATCTTGGCCACAGTGAAGTCAATAGGAGTTTTGCCATTGACTTCGATGGAGTCAAAATTTCATGCTGTAGTCTGGAAGGAGATAACAAGGCTCTGAGATGATGTCCAATTGGCATGTACTGTGCTGTCTTTCAGTTAAATTCCAAGCCAAAAAGCAAGGCTGTCACAGCACTGGGAGCTAAGTAATGAAGAACAATACATCACTACAAGTTCCAGACCTGCATATTTCAAACAAAAGGAAGTTTTTCCTATCAGCAGTCTAGGATACAATTGCGCTACCATATGCTGCTACTGCCATTGGAAACTAAGCTAATACACTTCTTAATAATGTCTTAGTTGGCTCCCTATAATGACTGAGTCCTTCAAATAATAGTTAGAATTTTCCAGATCATTTTAGCTAAGCAGTCTGGACCATCATCCAGCTAGAATCGGGGCCAAAAATCACTTTCAAGATGGAAGCCTGGCTGACTTCTTGTTCCATTCATTCACCACCAGCCTAACAAGAAATACAATCTGAGCCCCATGCATATGGCTAAGGAATATTTGGGATACAAACTCAGAATGACTAGAGCATACATTCTTAGAAATGAGTGGGAAAGTGCATGGAAAGGGCACAGCCTCTACAAACTGGGACAAATTCTGCTCTGAACAGTGTAACTGCTCCATTAAGGTCGACATTGGCCATTGTGTCTGACTGTATATTTCAAAGACTATGATTCGTACACTCTATTCCATAGGTATTACTACAGTTCTGATATTACAATTTATTCTGATGAAAGGTGTCATTATTGTGACTAACACGGCATGTCACGGACCAGAGATGATCCTCATTTGATGCAATGCTTGGGTTTAGCTCTTTGCCTGGACTAGACAGTTTCCCACACAATAAAAATACTATTTCACAATCTCGATTCTGTTCTCGTACAGCATCCCAATATCATAGTATCTGAGTCTGGTTCAACTAGTGCCCTACCTCACAAGAAGGGATACTGCTCCAGCTAGATGATGTGGTAATTATTATATATTTTGGTCCAGATCCCAGGCTAAGTCCAAGCTGTGCTTGATGCACCTCAAGAAGGAGGTGGGGTACTGCAAATTCTAAAGGCAATTGATTGCCCCAAGGGGCTCTTCAGCAGCCAGACACAATGGTATCCTAGCCATGCCCATCTTTCATAGCCATGCCCTATACACTAGGAGCTTCATGGGGCAGTGGTGATGGTGGCAGATTAACCATGATAGTAGCCCTATGCCACTGGAAGATTCCCCCATGTAGGGCAAAACCTCTATTTGCCATTTAATCTGTCTTAAAGCTGCTTTTCATCACTGGATCAGTATAAAGCAGTCTTTGCGGAAGCAAGGATCTGACCTGTGTCTGTATCGAAGCACAAACTTGTTTTCTTAGGAATGGTTTTGGGTAGTTTTGCTTTTGTTATTGCACTTATCTTTGGCTCGGAACAAAGATAAATTTACTGCCTTGGTGAATCTGTGAATAAAGATTCTCTAATCACATTTGTTTACTGGATTGCTAATACGATATGATGGATAAAATGGAGTGAATTGGCCAGGTGGAAGCAGGATAACTTTTTGAAAAAGTGTTGATGACATGTCAATGTTGTCTACCTTGCCAGTGTAGGAGGCTACAGGGGTATCAGATAGGCACTGGCAGTTAGGATTTCCTAAGACAACTGTAACTGTTAATGCAGATTCCAAGGCTATGGTATGAATTTGGCAGTGAAAAAAATTCTAGCACTGGTCCTGAGGGAAAAGTGTAATTTGCTAATGGGCAACTCAAGAATGCTTGAATAATTTACCCCTAGCCACTTATTTCAAGACATTTTTATTAAAGATGCTATTGAACAAATCAGAAAGTTGGGTAAACTTTATTTTCCAAGGTATCAGCAAGGAACAGCATCCTGACCCACAGAGTTCCCTTGATTAAAAAATAGGTTACCTGTTGTGGATCTCTGCTCACTTCATCATTACAGTGAAGATGTGGGTCTGATTCTCCACTGCCTTGCACCTTATGTAGCCATTTATACATGTGCAAAGAGAGTACAACAAGGGCGTAAACCACCACTACATCACAGTAGTGTCTTGCTCCCATTTTATATTTTTACTGCACAGGTGTTTAATGACTACAGAAGTTGCAAGAATCGGGTCCATCAATATCCATGATGAATCCTTTGTCTATTTCTTTATCAATCAACTCCCCCTGTAAATGGTGTAGCTTGCTTACATAGCCTAGATTACCAGCTTTGGTTGGGATGAGTAAATTGCTGATCTTAACAGAAAGAGTGATGACTTTGATGTCTAGTTACACTGCCATGTTATATAATGAACATAGCTGAAAGTGAGGCACAGTACTTGCTACTGATATAGTTAATATAAGGCTGGCATGTACCTGGAGATCCTTCTTCGGGATGACACAAAATTTCACCCTAGCAACTTCTCTTGCATTGCAAAGTAAATATAGCTACACCATAGGAATAGTGTAGGAATGTACTAGTCAACTCAAATGTTAAAGGTGTGTAGAGGGCAGGGGCTGTTAATTAATTAAATATCTTTCTTTTAAAGTGTAGGTCCTGGGAAGTTAGCAAATTGCAGAACAGCTGGTTTATGAACACATGAGGCCAGATCCTCAAATTATGCAAATAGGTATATCTCCATTGAAGACAGATAGAAGCTATGCTGAGTCAGCCCTTTTGTGACTCTGGCCCAAGATACTGACATGTTCCACTGCTGATTTCTATAGTACTAAGGGCTTGCTTGTGTTCTCACACTGTTGTAAACCAGGAACATCTCCATTGCATTAAATAGAGCCAAGTCTGGTCTACATGAGAGAAGAATCAGAAACTAGTTAAATGTTAGTACTTAGATTTTAAAAATATTGTGCACTTTTTATGCTCCTAAGAGTCAGCATTTAGGTGTGTAAGTAAGTGCATTTTTTTGTCTGGTGCCAAGAAAGCAGATGTGCGTGTTATTTCCCAATAGTCCTGGGCAGGGTCACACAGCTAATTCAACACCTCTCAAAAATGGGTGGATGTCTAGACACATAATGGAATTTTGAAATAAAGTTATTTGGGTATGTTTCATTGTGGTCAGCTAAATTTAGCTGGGTGCCACCCATGACTAACAAACACTGAAGATTCTAAAATTATAAAATCACAGCAGCATGAATGCTTCCAATAAGCTGCTACAAACTGCCTCTAAGGTCTGGCTCAGAAGGGACTGTAATAAAATTCAGGGAGCAAAATTCTATGGTTGTCAAACAGAACACTATCTATAGTGGTAAAAATCATCTCATTTAAATATACCCTGCTAACCGAAGAAGTAGTACAAAGAAAACCAAATGACATATCTTTTCATCTACACACCATGAAATCAAAACAAAAGTTTTCCTCCTGCCTTTCCAATCACTCCTTCAGCGTTTTCTTCAAAGGATCCTCCTCATCCCCCCTATAACGATCTGTGGGGGGTTTTCACTGGGTTCTGTCCTCGGTCTCCTTGTCTTCTTATCCACAAACACAAATTCAATAGTCATCTCTATGCTGACACCTCACACATCTCTCTCTTTACTCCAGACCTATCTCCTTTCATGCAAACTGGAATCTCAGCCTGTTTCGGACATCTCCTCATGCATAGCTAATAGTCAACTCAAGATCAACAAGGCTAAAACAGAGCTCTTCATCTCCACCCCCACCCCCATCCAAGCCTTCCTCACTATCTCCTTTCTTGATCACTGTGGATAACACCACCATCTGTCTGGTCACTCAAGCCCATTACCTGGGCATCATCTTCAATTGGGACCACCCTAGGTTCTCACATCCAGACTATGGGTATGTCTATACTACCCGCCAGATCGGCAGGCAGTGATCGATCCAGCGGGGGTCGATTTATCACATCTAGACAGTGAGGTAAGAAGATCTAAGTATGTTGACTTCAGCTACATTATTCACGTAGCTGAAGTTGCATAACTTAGATCGATTCCCCCCTCCCCCCACAGTGTAGACCAGGCCTTAGTCTAAATCTTGCAGGAGTCCGTCTGCATAACATCTCTAAAATGCAGCCTTTTCACCTATCTGCCCAGCTAAAACTCTTGTCCGGTCTCTCATCATCTCTAGTCTTGATTGCTGCAACATCCTTCTCTCGGGCCTTGACAAATACAAACTTACCCCGCCGTTATCCATTCAGAACCCTGCTGCAAAGATCTTTTTCCTAGCCCATTGCTTTGACCATGTCACCCTTCTCTTTGCAGCCCTCCACTAACTCCCTTTAGTCTATCGTCTCAGACAGAAGCTACTTGTCTTCACTTTCTTCCATGCTGCCCCTAACATTTTGGGAGGAGCTCCCCATAATCATTTGCAAAAGCTACCTCGTCCACCTGCAAATCCCTCCTTGAAACTCTCCTGTTCCATGATATGGAAAACCTTAATATGGCTGGGCTGCTGGTGTGCTGAGACCTCTGCCTATCATACTGACCAATATTGTCTCAGTGTTTCCTTACACCCCATCTATCTGTTTGAATACATATACTGTCATATTTTATACTTAGATTGTCAGCTTTTTGAGGTGGGGACTGTCATTTTTTTTGTTCTATGTTTGTACAGCACCTAACACAATGAGGTTCTGGTCTATGACTA